GAACTAGCTGAACTGATGTTAGATATCGAAATACAGATAAACCGACGACCCTTATCATACATGGAGGACGATGTGGAATTGCCAACCCTAACCCCATCTACATTCCTGTACCAACGTTCAAACCATCTACCTATCGAAGAGACATGGAGAATCGAAAATCATGATCTTAGGAAACGTGCCAAGTACCTTCTTGCCTGCAAGAACAACCTGTGGAAACGTTGGAAGAGGGAATATCTAGCGGCATTGAGAGAAAGACATACTATGATTCATGCGAGAACGAAGTTCTGTCCCAAATCTGGAGATGTGGTCATAGTGTTGAGCGACAACAAGAATCGGGGAGTGTGGCCTTTAGCTGTGGTCGAAGAAACCTTTCCTGGCAAGGACGGAGTCGTGAGAGCTGTGCGACTCAAGACAAAGAACGGGGTACTGGAAAGACCGGTGCAGTATTTATATCCCATGAAACTGAGTTGTGTCGAGTTTTCAAAGAAACCGACGAAGCTGAATGCTGCAGCACCAAAGTTTGAACCTCGACCGAGCAGAGCAGCTGGCGAAGCAGCGCGTATACATATTCAAGAGATGGCAGAAGAAGGCGACATATGAACATACGAACAAATCGAACACGCAGATTTTAATCTATATTTTACATTGAGTTAAAGTAGGAAAGTTGCAAAACAATTATTATTGGCTAAACTGTGAAATAATATACATCCCCCTGGGAATGTATATGGGGGAGTGTGTCGGAGATTGTGACGAACACTCGCGTGACCGGAAGTAAACTGCTATAATTCAGCCAATAGTAGGGCTGCATTTACATGTGCTTATATAGCGAAATAATTTTGTTGTTGAGAGAGAGAGTTTTTGTGAGATTACCGATATATAGCGAAGATATATCATTAAAACTTTACTTAAATATCGATACAAGTGATTTTTCGTAGATACGTACTCTGGAGGCGAGTAATTTACGAAATAGCCACTGTCGCAAAAACAACATGAACAATACCTTCCTTAGAACACAGTTGTTTCATGATTTCTTCCTTCATCTGTCTGGTCTGTGGAGCATGGAACTGTGCAAACAACCTGTTGGATGGGAATGAAGCAAAACAAAGAGGAAAGTACTGCTCACCACCAAGAATATGCTCGAATAGTTTATATGCAAATCCACATATTCTCAAAGAAATGTAAATAATAGTTAGTGGATAGTCAATCTTTTTCTGTAAGAGGGACCTGGCAATTGGTACCAAAATTGATTGAATCGCATCCACATCTTGTCCAGTTCTAAAAATATTTTGGTAGAAAATATTCTTTCTATCAGGATTGACAACGATGCACTTGCAATTTTTCAAGCCCAGCGAGTCCTGTATACATTTGATAACAGTTCCACTTGCAGTTGCTGTCATTGCCAGAACAGGCACGTCTGCACCTATGACCCACAATTTAGCATAATCTGTTCTAAAATCAAGTCCCCTGCAATTAAATAAAAACACAGTTTAACCCATTCAGTAGCCTTTATTCTATTGAAGGTTTTGATTATTTTCTAATAAATGGCGGGATATTATTTCTCTTCACCCATTTTTTTCTCACCCATTTTTTCTAACCTACCATTTATTAAAAAATCCTCAATACTTTCAATAAAATAAAGCACCTGCTATGCAGGTTACCCATTAAGCACCAGCACTCTCCCCTTGACAAGTAAAATCATCTGGCATTTTTAGACAGAGTAAAATCGTCTGGCATTAGACAATGTAAAATAATAAAGTAGGGATCAGACTACCACATCCAACCAGCTCCAAGCTGATTGGCTGGGCGAATTGAAACCATCACAAACATTGAACTTTGTCATGAGAATAGACAATGTTTTATCGATGACCATTCATCCTTAATAGTTGCAAGCGATGGTAATAGGCAATTCAAGCTTTTAATTTATGTGTGCAGGGGGTGACGGGAAGTAAAGTATCATATTGCTGATTATGCTGAAAAATTTAATAAAAACTGCCGAAACAACCAAAATATTTCAATATTTACAAGTATAAGCTATCATTACGTGTTTACACAGCCACCATTGTTATTTTTTCAGCATTATCGCCTTTATCCGCAATATGATACCATATACCATGATTTGCCATATACTGTATTAGTATATTAATATATTTTAAAGGACAATGGCAATAATTTTTTTTATTCTTGATATCTATTAAACATACCTATGGAATACTTAATTATGTATTTTCACTTGTCTATCGCGTTTAGTTGTTCAGAAATATCATAAAACTTTCGACAGTTGTCCGCCATCTTGAAAAAAACCTGGTATGCTAATTTATGTGAGAATAAATTTGTGACGTCAAGAGCA